GACGACTTTCTAAACAGGGTTGTCAAAGTCACATTGTCATGTTGTCGTCACGTGGCATATCCCCTTCGCTAAAACAGGGGAGGCATGGTCAATGTGTGATGCATTCGACCCGTGGGCTGCAAGTTTGACACCCCTGTTCTATGGACTACGATTTATTGGGAACTTTGGGGAAAATGTTATTATGCTCATAATTGTCATTCTATCCTGAGACTACTTCTTTAAACAACTTATGTGGCTGTCCATCTTGTTGTAGCAAATCTGGACAGCTAACAACAAGACTCCCAAAACATTAAAAATAACTGCAATAACAATCAACTTCCAATGTATCAGAAGTCCCTTTTACCTTACAGACATAATGCAAGTAGTTAACAGGCTTCTCTTACCACCCAATCCTTGCACTTGAGGGAAAAGCCAGCCCTTTAAAGCCTTATTAAATGGCATAGAGCCATCTAAATCCTAGGGGGATGCTGCTCCACACAGCATCTGCCATGGCAGAAAAGGCATTACTTCTGGGTCTTGCCAGATCATGCCGCTTACTAGAAAGAACCTGAAATGTGTCTATCTCAGTGGTGGGTTCCGGATCCCGTTGCAACCGTGCTGGTTGCAAAGGGCCCGGCATCCTCCACATGAATGCACGCAGTGAGCGTGCATGCGTCTTACCCTCCAGTGATGCCTCCGTCACATAGGCACTCTACGCGCCATGCACATGCATGGAAGCGCTGAAGAGTTTAAAGACAGGTAAGGAGCTCGGGCGGGCAGGCGGGCCCTCCGGAGCACTGTACCGGAACGGTATCTGGTGCTCCGGGCAGGCACCGGTACGCCCGTACCACCTGCAACCCACCACTGGTCTATCTTGATAGGTGGGTGAGATAGTCAGCAACAATTATAGAAAAATGAGTTGCCTTTGTGCTGTGTAAGGCTATGGAGGTGACAGTGATCCCTCTGAATTGTCTCAGCAGCTTTTCAAGAGTGAATGCAGCCCATGGAACATTGATGTTCTATGTTCATACCTTGATATTTTCAAGGTTAGCCATACTGTCATATTTTGGAACAGTAACAACTTCTGAACGCTGTTCAGGAGCAGCCCTAGATAGAACATATTCTAATAATCAAATTGGGAGGTAACTAAAGCACAAATGACCATGGATTAGTCCTGATCGAAAAATGAGTGCAAGCAGGAACTATGAGTCCAGAAGACACCTCTTCCCAAAATTGTACACCAACTCTGTCTCAACAAGAAAGCTGATTCAGACTTAAAGATGGAAAATATCCAGATTTGGGAGGCTTTAAAATTTATTGTCATGTGGTTTTGCCAGGATTCTATAGAGGAGTTGAAAGAATAACATTGACGAAGGAATGCAAGAATAGTTAAGAGAATGTAAATGAGAATGGAAAATTGAAAAGCATGAAAAGAAATGTAAAACAACATGCCTTGATTGTATGTGGTTTAAGAGTAGGCAGAGAGTTACTCTGATAGACTCTGTTAAAATACTGTACAATAATAAATAACACTTCTCATATCCTTGTTTGATCTGTTTCCTGACCTAGTCTACTTCAAAGGGCTGACAGATAGGTTGAAAGGTGTTCCTCCCCATCCAGAAACCCTATAGCCTCCAGGCAAAGCAATCAGCCTCCTTTGGAGCAGTAATTTAGGAGCTATAAGAATTTCTGAAATTCCCTGCATTGCCTGGAGTCACAGTTGGTGCCTCACGTGAACCCCACCTGGACACGTCTCCAAAAAGCTGCATCTTTCCCATTCATTCGGCCACATTTCAATAATGCATGCAAGGGTAGCTCTCTTGTCCACAATTAAATTGTGGTTAATGAAAGTTTAATTATAGACTAACCAAGCATTAAATAAGAATAGCTAGCCAGGATTACTGGACTTTAGATGTCAAGTCATTGGGACAAACAAAATTGGAATGAATTATTGGAAAGTCACCTTCCCAACAAATGGCCTAGCCTCTGCTTTTGCAATCCCTCTTCCTGTTCCCACCATGGTATCTTTGCATGCTTAATTCTCCAGGCCACATCTTTTGCATCTCTTGATCCAAATATTCTTCCCCCAAGTCAAAGGGCCTCATCCTACCAACAGGGAACAATTATTCTACTGGCTTCTATTTCAGGGATATTTTTGCAACTTGCAAGTATCTCCTAATCTGGAGTACCATTTTACATTTTCTCCCTCACTCAACAACATACCACTTGCACCACTGCATTTTATCATCCCAGATCCCCGACTCTCATTTGAATACCAATGAACTGCACTCCTATAAACTAGAGTAAACTAGGATACATCATTATCTCTTACCCAATCAAATACCAAATAAATACCACAGAAAACTCTAGGCCACCAACAGACAACTCAGTCAATGGGTAGAAGAAGTGAAAAGGCAATGCATTCTGCTTATGGATTTTGCAATTATTTAGTTAAGTAGTTGCAGAATACTACATTCATATATTCTCAGTATTAACCTCCTATATATGATAGACGTATGAAATGGCTTCCCCATTGACTTTGATCAGAATGTCACAAAAGATTATCACATAACATCAGGACATTACAACAGTCATAAATATGAGTCAATTTGCCAAGCATCTGAATTTTTATCACATAACTATGGGGATGCTGCAATAGTCATGTGTGAAAAACAGCTATAAGTCACTTTTTTCAAGGCCGTTGTAACTTGAAAATAATGTTGTTAGTTGAAGACTATCTGTATTTCTGCAGAGAGCAGCCCTAAGATGCTGAGGCAAGACTTAGCTGCTTTATAACATTGCAGACAGGTGGTATATATTTATATTAATAAACAAATAAAGTCATACAAATCTAGTAATAAATAAATACATATTTAAGCAGAAGAGCACCTTTCTGGAACAGAGAGCTTTCCAGAGAGCTCCACAGCCCTTCAAAGTATAACATTTCCTTGGCTGATCCACCACTTTGCCGTTTATTTGTTTTTAAACATGGTATTCTTTCACTTCTTACCTTACTTGGCTAGAATCCATGGTAAATAACCCATAAAGGAAAACACACAATCCAACAAGTGCAGCAGGGATAAGCATCCCGGTGTACCATCCCAACCAAGCAAAATAAAGACCAATTTTCTCTCCAAAATACCGTCTGCATTTAAAAGAGAGTGGGGTGGGGGGAGACAGGGAGACAGGGAGAGAGAGAGGTCACTATTGCTTTAAATGTTGAGATGAATTATAATCATATCAATTATGGCAGAGGAAGGACATTTTATATAGAACTGAAGAATTAAAAAAAATCACTGTAACATCTAATTCAAGGGCTTTTGTTTGCATTTAAGAAAATTCATGTTGTTTTCATCAGCATGCTGCCCTTGCTTTATGCAACTAGAATTTGCATAAAGCAAGGGCAGATTAGGAGAAGGAGACATTTGAGCAAAGACATGATAGTCTGTTTGGATTGGCTTTGACAATTCATACATAAAATCAACAAAACAAAAACCAGTCATAGGTTATCACTATTACAGTTAAAAAGAAACAACTGAGAGCCAGTTTGTTCAAGTGGTTAAGGCACAAGGCTAGAAACATGACAGAAACGGTGAAATCTGGGTCCTCCTTAGGCATGAAAGTTAATTGGGTGACTTTGGGCCAGTCATTCTTTCAGCTCATGGCATCAGGTTTAGGTGACAGTCCAGTTGGTCAATTCCTATTGCAACTAATGGATCAACACTTGATTTATCTAAAAAAAAAAAGTGGACCTTGCACTCAAAGGAAAATCATAGGAAGGAAAAAAATGAAAAATAAATGCTTGGGTTCTTCTAATATGCTTTGATTAAATTGTTTAGACAGAACTTACAGGGAGATGATGGCAATTGAAATCAGGATCTTCCAAGTGAGGCTGAGAAACTAGGTGGATTTTGGACTGCTTCCAAATTTGCAATTTATCCTGAGTCTAGCCGAGTAAGGAATTTTGGAGCAATTTATCTGCTTTTATTTTTCTGGTACTTTTATTGTAATTTGAAGCAACAAAAATCACTAATATCTTAAAATATAATGGAAGTCTATATACTGTAGATGTTTCTAAACGCAGTTAGACAGGTATGACTAACACAATTTCTTTTTGGTTAGAAGTACTTCAATGGTTATCAATCAAACAGGGTATCCATGGATTGTGAAATTAAGTGAACCTCAAATTTATAGGCCCCAGCTTTTTAGAGTTTGTGTGCAGTAGGTGGAATTCTATTGCAATCTGCATAATGGTGCAAATGAAGTTATTTGTATCAATTTGAATCACTTGTGCAAATGCAAGTGATTTGCGATGCATTTACATTTTTCATTTGATGCAAATGACCTCATCTGCACCACTGCAATAAAATACCCTTCAGTACAATGGCTTTTAAGAATAATGACCTACCATTTCCCTTCAGTTAGATCATTAAAAACAGGTCTTCTCTGTCCCACAAAAGAAGAACAGTTACATTGAACTGCTCATGGGAAGGTCAGTGACACAGAACACAAACAACTTCTACTATATTACATATATACATTACCTAATTAGATCCAGGGGTTGATATTTGTACCACATCCCCCATCGTGCCCATCGTTCATATAATAGATGCCGATGGTTATTAGCGCCATGTGTTTTGATAGGATGCCTGCTCTTGTGACTTCCCTGGAGTACACATGTAATCCCAAATCAAAATAAAGAAGAATTGGAATGATAATTATAGCAAATGGGGTCTTAAAATATGTTATTAAGATAAGTGCTTCTTTTGAAAAAATGAGGATATTATTAATAATTTGCTTATGTAACATTGAACAGTTCTAAGCAACTATCCATCTTTTTGCTAGAGCTGAAACAGCTCAGAAACCTCTTAGCAGCATGAAAACATTTCTTTGGAATATAATCAGACTGAATTATCTAGAAAATAGAAATGTTTTGTCCCAACATTGCGGAACTGCAGCACTTTCCAGCTGAGAAACTCCCTTAATTATTAATGCAAATTTATATAGCATATTTACGGAATACATTATAATAATCATCTCATTCATTCTGATTAATTTTTACATTACAATTAAACATTGAGGAGGAGGAGAAGCAATTTACTAAATATATCACTGTAGCAGATAGAAAGAGTGGATTCAGATCTAATATTCTACTTCTATGTACACTTTGGGGATGAGGAAATATATCCAATAAAAATCTGTAAGTTAGTTCAGAAGCCCTGATTAAAGATTGTAATTATGTACCTTGCTAAAAAGTTCTTTTTTCCATATTTTCCTTACAAGTATTCATGCTGTTAAAGAATAAAAATACCTGGAAAGATTGAATTTATCATGTCTGAACATCCGAATTTTACAAACATTACTCTGGTTGGGACTGCCTATATTCTTAGATGCTACCAGTAATAATCAATAATGTTTGTTTTAGACTATGAATCTAACTGTGAATTGTTCACACATAATAATTCCAAAATATCTGGAACTCCACTTGAACCCCGCCGGAACTGACCAAATCATTAATAGTAAAAGGCAGCTTTTCTTGGAACAGCTTCCATCATGCAATGCCTCCACCACCACCACCATGGAACAGCTTCCATCATGCAATGCCTCCACCACCACCACCACCACCACCACCACCACCACCACCACCACCACCACCACCATCATCATCATCATCATCATCATCGTCGTCGTCGTCGTCGTCGTCGTCATTATTCACTATCATTTCTCATCAAAACTGACAAATCCAGCTATAATTTATTAAATTTATATGCCTCCTGATTCTCAGTGATTTTGGGTGGTTCACAACCATCAAGAAATTACAATAAAACCAATAAAAAATAAAGATAATACAATTGAAGCATTATAAGAATTGAATAAATAAATACATCAATTGATAATGTAATACTACCAGTAGTAGAATATATAAAATGGAAGTTTTCAAACTTTCTAAGATTGTAGCACTCATTTTAAGTGAGTGAGTGAGTGAATGAATGAACCCTAGAATCATTGATCAAGAACTCTAGTGAAACAAAACTGTCCACACATGCATGACCTTTTTTTCTCTTATCTTCTTTTGCCCTTGGTTTCTCCTAGGACTCCTATTTGGAAGCCACCTAGAGTTGATTGAAAGATGGGTGACTACATAAATGTTATGTATGCATGCATGTATGTTCCCCATTTCTCTGGGGAACTCCAGAGTCCAGAGAATACAATCTGGGAAACTCTAGTTCAGTAAACAGTCTTTAAAATAAGCATTGAATTGGAAGTCACTACTATTCAGAGGAAATTTCCTATTATATTACTATGTTTGTGTATAAGCTCTTTCACCTTCTACTAATCTTGAAAGATCGGAAAATTGTGTGTTTCATTGCTATTTTAATTGTTATTTTAATAACTTCTGCTGTAATTTTTTCTCTGTTGTCTTACCCAGTGCATGATAAGAGGCTAATACTGAAGCTGTGTGTACATCAAATGTTTGCATCTCTGACTGAAGTACATGCTACAACAGGGCCCCCCAAACCCCCGGTGCATGGACCGGCACCAGTCCATGTCATGTCAGAAATCAGTCCACACAAACAAGCAAAGTCATATCTGTAGGATGCAAGCAGCACACAAAACCATGTTCCCTCCAGTCTGTGGAAACAATTCTCTCCATGGAACCGATCCCTTGTGCCCAAAAATTTGTGGGTCATTGTGTTACAACATGCCATGTTATTGCAATTCAGGTGCATTTTCAGATTTACAGGAAGGAATTAGTTTGTACCAGGGACCCTGGTCCAGGGTGCAATGTGTTCTGTCTTGCTAAGACAATCTTCTTTCACATTGTCATAACAAAATGGGGAGTGGGCCTTCAGCCAAGCCCTGTAAGTCAGATCTGTAAGGGCACTGAGGAATGTTTTCTTGACTGGACTGCGTCAAGACATTTGTCAAGAATTTCCTCTCTGTTTCTCTGTAATATATATTTAAAGTATACTTCAAGCTGAGTTCTATTCAACTGTCTGCATCAAAACTATATTTATGTTCTCACTGCAGAACACATATTAAATCTTTCTCTCTCACACCCTGTCTAGCTCTTTCTCTAAAACACACAGCAGTCATGATTTAACACAGTGAATGGAATCAGTGGCAACTCTTTAGAATCTAAAATGTCGGCCATAAATGTATGAGCCAGAAATCTAAAATTTGGTCTCTCAAGGGGAAAAATTAGTATAAGGCAGCTTCTATAAATTATAGCTTTACTGTTTTTTAAGGAAAGAGTTTCAAAATAGCACAGGAACTAGTTCTATATATTAGGCTGAAACCTTTTGGATATTGGTACAGAATAAATCCCACTGCACCTTGTTTCTGAGCAAATAAGCATCAGATAGGGCTGACTGCCAGGCAATGAAAAATATCTAATACAGTGTAAAACTGCACAATAGCATCAGACGTGTTATCATTGTCAGAGGAAAAATAATTTTCAGAGAAGCCTTACAGAAATTGCTGCTCAATATCATCAGGCATATTATCACTGTCAGAAAAAAAGGACACTCAGAGAAACCTCATATAAATGAGAAACAGAAATACTCAACAGAAACTTTAAATGTTAGCTGGGCTCCAGGAGATTAAAGCAAATTTAGCATATCACATGTAAAGCACTGCTAATTAAACTACCTCATGAGGAGGAAATGCAGCTTCATAAGTTCCATTGCTGAGCAATCTGTTAATGCCTAAAAGAAAGAAGACATGTTACAAATCTTTGAAATGTAAAGATAACAAATATCAATATTAAAATAAGTAAGTACCAAACCTTTTTCTTTACACATAAATAAAGAGGAAAATATAGATATGAAACTGTTTCAAGTTTGGAATCCTATTAGCTGAGAACTCTTACTTTGAGGCCTTATTATCTCAAGGTTTTTCAGCAGAATTATTCTATGATGTCCTATACCAACCTTCTGTTTATTATTATGATTGGGATTAGCCTTCCAAGTACAGCACTGATCGATGATTTATGGGTTTTATCTCTGATCATGCTGGCAGATGGCCAGATTCAAAGGAAAATAGTTCATAGTTGTTTTGAACATGTGTTTTAACATGACTTGAAACATCAGTGGAATAAAATTAATCTGTCTCCCCAAGCCTAAACACCACTCACATTCTAAGGTTTGGTGAATTCTGTTTTACAATGTAATATCAGTCAAGGATCAAAAAGCAACATTGCTAGGAATGCATGAGACAACAGGCTGTCTTGAAGTTAATTTATGTTAACTGTTTTCTGATTACTACCTGTAGTAGAAGCAATAGCCAAGTGCATCTATTTCTCATAGAGCTCTATAATCAAAAGAGAAAGTAGATCATCTTGGATGTATTTGGAATTTTCTCAGAATTAAACAAAGTGATAAGAAACATCCTCAGTCTGAAACTTGTTTTCCATTTCCATTTGCAAAATGGAATGTGCTGCTTTGAGGCAAGCTTTTTCATAAAAATGGAAGCATCAAGTGGGGAAAAATATCTTCTTCTGGAGGAAGAATTATGTAAGTTATAACCTACAACCAGACAATTATTTTTATCCCAGTATTATTTCTTTCTCTTTTTACTACCAAACAATGTTTTGCAGAGGAAATCAAAGAGCCTTATTGGAAATTATTTTTATAACTTCTGTTTGGCCACAAAAGCAGTAGGGAGAAACAATTTGGGATACTGAAAAAGTTTAGAGAGCAATATTTTCTTGGAAGTGTTATGGATCTCAGTCATAAAGAAGTGCTTGCTTGTTTAACTGAGAAACATTTTTATTATTCACTAAGCATTTTCATTGGCTTCTTAATATGGTATATGAACTTTTCTTTTTGCTTATGTTGACATTTGGCAAAGAGCTCTCCCTTAGTCTTCAAAGTGTGGTTGTTTAGGGTGTTGTTTTTTTTTTTTTGCCTAATAATGACTATTTAACTAAATATGGTGTACACTGCTCAAAAAGGATCAAATCAGTAATGATTTTTTTCCAGCAAGAAAGGTTGTGAAGGCACTAGAAGAAGTAAGGAATAGAGAATGGTGTGTGTGTGTGTGTGTTTGTGTGTGTGTGTGTGTAAATCCTGAATGATTACAAAAGAGGGGATGAACTACTCAACTCTGGCAGGATGGATTGATTGTAGCCATTGTACTGGGCCAAAGGAGATTTGTCACAGAGCATCCCTTGGACTGTTACAGGGGAAATTGGCAATCTCAACTTCCAAATTAATGACTCCATATGGCCAAATTGCTAGAGAATCTGGCTTTAAAGTGCTGATAGTGA